AGGCATTTTGTTTAACCTCATATGCAAGTGCAGATTGTTATTTGAATAAATAAAAGACTTGGACTTACAGCCTTTTTTTTGTTCAAGTACAGATGTAAACTATGCTGTGGTATGTTTAGTCTCTGCTTTCTCTCAGGATCATGGTTTTGATACTTTGAGATAACGTTTTAAAGTACCTTTCTGCAATGTCGCAATGGCCTAATGTTCCATTTGTTGCTGTATCTGATTGAAGGCTGCCTCTCTGCAGCCACTCGCACCCTGGCAAAACATGGGCCTGTTTATAGCCACACTGAAATAAGTACGTTTCTGTGCAAGCATGGGAATCTGCCTGTGAGGATGTGATTGCAGGACTGGGGCTTGCGACCTTCTGCTCACATAGAGAAATCCTTGTTGGAAAGACTTCGAAGATAAGGAGCCTGTCTAGAACCTTAGGTCTGGAATAGCCATGTATAGGAAATTATTTTATTGAAGTCTATAGGAGTGTGCTCTTAGCGACAGTTTTGAATCTTCCCACTTAACATCTTTTCTCTTTATATATCCTTTGAATTTTCCAGAATTCCTAGAGTCTTAAGTGGTTGGTGGTTTTTAGGCTTTGGGCTATCGTTGTCACATTTTCTGTATGGTACTGTTCATCAGATGAGTGAATCAGCTGAAATTAAAATTCCTGCCTAAGTTTTGTGTAGGAAAACAGAGAAGAATCTGTTCAGTTTTGGAACAAAAAGAGTTATTTTTCCGTCCTCTTAATTATGTTTTCTGTTGTTGATTGAAACTTGTTACAAGTCTGTAAGTTTTCTAGCCATTACTGTTATTAGGAATAATACTTGAATTTAATTCTCTATTTATTGCAGTGTAATCTGTGTTACCAGTATTGCCTAAAATACACTGCTGCTTTTCTGTTAATACATCTGACATCCTTATGCAATATAAACTGCCTTTTTGCACAGTTGAGGTAATAAGCTTTCAAAAAAGGCAGAATGAGGACAATGTTGCTGTTTCTATCTTCCTAGGTAGATCTTAACAAGTGAAAAGAAGTAGTCCGAAACATGATTCCAGGTGGTAACTAAAAATGTCTAGTAAGATCTTAACATATTACAGTGCCTTGATATGTCAGGCACTTGCATGTGTGTGGAGTACCTTGACTTGTGTGTGGCTTTTCAGAGGTCTTCTTGGGTAATGATTGTACTATAGTTAATAAAAGCGTTCCCTACAGGAACTCTTGTAGTTGACTTTGGTTGCTTCCCAGTGTTTTCTGTCTCAATTTGGATGCTTTTACTAACAAAAGGCCCTTGTTTTCTAAATTACAGTAAGCTTGGTTTGGTAGCTTAGTGTAGTAGAGCATTGAGCAGTTAAATGACCAGAACTAAGCCAAAGTTATGGTTAGATCGTAGAACAGGGACAAAAGTTATAACTTTGTTGTGTTGATGCCAACCACAATTCAATGTGGTGCAGCTTCCCTTGATAGAACAGAGCACTTCACAGAGAGGTACTAGTTGCCTAAAGTCTCTTAGTATGAAATAGGAAAAAGGAATGTATTTTCTCTCTAATAATATCATTTTTACTAATACCGACTGAAAGGTTTTACTTGAAAAAGTAGCTTTAAATGTTTGTCTTTTTGCAATGATTTTTATGGTCTATGTTAATCTCTGAAGAGTGGATGTAACTCCATGTTGCCCAAACATCTTCAAGTCTCTGTATTTAGTGTTAGTTTCAGCAAAAGGGTCAGGCAGTGACAACGCAAGGAATTGTTCTTTCTTGGTAAAGTTGAGGAATCAACAAAACTACTTCTTAGCTGTTTGTGGGAAAAACTGATGTTTTTGGAGATCCACGTTCCACTTCTGGCCCCAAGATGCTGGTTTAGGAAACATATGTAGATGATTATACCTTGTCTGTGAGATTTCATGAAGACACCAAGAAATTTAACATGAAATTTGTGCTAGTATTATCAAATGCTAAACGACATAGCTAAGACTTCTTTAATCGTGGCTTTTATTTGGATGCAATGTGTGAAGCTCAGAGTTCAGTCCTCTTAATTATACATCTTTTAACCACCGACATATAATTGCCTTGCAATTTACAATGCATTTGGGGATTCCATTGCCTAAAAGGGTCTTACGTACGTTGAATGTCAAGTTCTGAGCATACATTTAAGAATGTATCCAACCCACATGATTTAAAATATTATAATATTCTCAGCACAGTGTTTCCTCAAAATTACTGATTGAGTTTTGGGACTGTAATACTTTGGGCTTTCTAATAGTAACTAAGCCATTAACTTCTCTGTAGACTACAGATGATGTCAGGTACCAGATTTCTACATTACATAATGCTGATACTCAGGATGGTTTAGCAAAGAGTGCCCCCCAAAGTTTGCTGCTGTGCCGTTTTCCAGCCTCTCTGAAGGACTGCTTAACTGTATTGGGGGAGGGTGTGTGGGGTGCAGAGCTACAGCTTTGTTGTCTTGGAGCTGATGCGTGCTGCAAGGGAAATGATGATGCCTGCTTACCAGTACTAGAAGCAGTTGGAAGCTGGCTTCTTCCTGTGCATGACAGTAGGTACAGACGCTTGCGCAGGTGTGTACCTGTGTGTATTTAAGTCTTTCATTTCTCTCTTTACAGTCACTTTGCAAACCACCTTCTGGTGTCTTACTGACCACCAGTGGCTGCACTCAGCAAGACAAGTAGCTCTGCTCTAAGTGATGATGTCACAGAGTGTGTCTTCGCTCTGTGTCCTGTGTGTACTTGCCGTAAAGTCTTGCTGGGATGCTAAGTTTCTTGGCCTTCACATGTACCAGATAGGGCTTTTGCCAGAGGGATAGGATTTTCTTCCAGTCAACTGCTCAGGAATAAAAAAGGGAGAACAGGAGAAATGAGTGTGTTATAAAATTACAAATGTTAGTGGTAACCTCATAAAAGCATAAGAAATACACTGCACTGCTGGGTCTGATCAGGGGTTGATCCAACCTAGTATTCTATCTTGGGTAGTAGGAATAGATGATGCTATTTAGGAAGAGCACGAAGACCCAGCCACTTTAAGTGTTTCCTTCTCCACCATCCATATTTGTTAAATTAGACAGGCTAGGAGGTACATCACTTATGTCCCCACTGTCTGTGAATTTTTCTGTTGTTTTTTTGAACCTGATGATACTTCTATAGCCTCTTGTGACAGGAAGGTCTAGCAGTTCACTAGCCATGAGTGGTAAAAATGAAGTGCTACTTTAATGTTTTGAGTCAATCTCTCACTAGCTTCATGAAGCGCCCGTAGTTCTAATATTGTGTGATATAGTATACAATTGTTCTGTACTGACCTTATACCCTACCAGGATTTTTTAAACTTCACTCATGTCTTACATGATTTGGCAATGGCACACATACATTTTTTTATCCTTCTCTGTTCTTTGCCATGTTGCTTCTGATCAGCTCAAAATCTTTTATTCAGAATCAGTTGTTTAAGGAAAATTAAGGTTCTTCAAGAAGCAGCCTCTGGTTTCTCTTTCATGGGTTGTGGCTAATGCTAGTTTGAGTCTATGCAGGCATAAGCTATGTTTCTATGCAGGCGTATATTATGTTTCTGTTGAACCTTTCTGCATCTTCAATGTAGAGTGTAAATACAAACCCCAAAAATAGCTTCCGGAAAGTTTTGTTCCCTGATATTTTTGCAGTGAAGTACAGCTGCTTAAGCATTTGACTTTTTCCAGGGGAAGTCCATGTTTCCGTCATCTCTTACTGAATCCTGTGGGACAAAAATAGTTTCTCCCCCACCCACTGTTTAGCTAAGTGTAGTTTCAGTTCTCTTCAGTTAAGCGACATGTGTCTATTCCATGTTTGTGCTACATTTTTATGTTGCAACAGAAAGCTCTGTTAAGAACTCCTATATATTTTGTTCAAAATAAAATATGCCATCAGATTAAATCATAATAAGTAGATTCAAAAATCTTTGTTATTTATATATATAAATATATATATGGTAAGCCATGGAATTAATAAATAAAAAAAGCTATTTTTTTAGATTATGTGCAATCTCAGCCTCTGATCCTGCCAGTGTATACGCATAGAACCACTGTCTTTTGGGAAGTCTGTGTAGGAAACTACCGATAAAGATATAATTGCAAGGTTGTGAGAGTTGCTGTAGGGTTTTTTAATGTAACATTGGCTGCTAGGTGTATTAGCTTTGCTTTTGTTTGTTGTACTAATTGATTGCTATCAGGATTTTTAACATGATTATATTTGCATGAGCATCTCTTAGTATATATATAGACCCAAAAATTGATGTTCATGCTCATTGATTTCCCTGAGGAGTATTGTCAGTATTTTTGCTTAAACGTTTCATACGGCATTGTACTTGGGCCCTGTATCTTTCAGACAAACGAGAAGTAAAATACTATGTCTGCCTTGACACAGTCAAGTTAAATGCAAAAATAAGGCTTAATTATGAGTTAAATCCAAAACTAAGACTGGGGACACAAGAATAAACCCGGCATTATAGTGGCTGGGAACTGTGGAGCAGTTTCTTTACAGAAGCTTAACGGAGGCACATCAGGTATATATTTCTTGCTGGTTGCTTTGGAATGTTCTGAGGTACTCTTTTTCTTTGGTCTGCTGCTTGATAACCTTCAGAAAAGAATGTTGCTGGGTTGTGCAGAAAAGGAGAAGGTCATTGATCTGTCAAAAGCTCTGCAAAGCATGGTAGTAGCTTGAAAGAAGGTGGTAAATAAAACAGAAATAGCAGCACGTGAGTCACTCCAGCTGAAAGATGCACTCATTCTGTCAAATTTTTCATCCTGTCCAGTATGCCACCAAATAAAAGCTTCAGTTGTGTGTATGGGATGCAACTAGTTAAGGCTAAGACAACTTTTTTGCTGCCGTAGTAATGGAGGAGGCTGTATCTCATATGGGACCCAAACCCAGATCACCCGTCACCACCCAGATCACCCCAAGCCCTGTGTCACCATGGGATTTATGTTTTTATTTCATGTTGTTGCTGAAGTGTGTGTCAGTATGTGCCTTAAAGGTGTCTGAAAGGATTATTTGCTTCCTAGCATGCCAAAGAAGAGAGGGTTCCCTCTTTTCCATTCTGTTTATATGAAGAGCATGGCCAGCGGTGAACTTTATTGTTCTTAATACTGATGTGTTGTGAAGGGTCATACTCCAATGATTGATTTCAGTTATATATAGTAAGTGCTCCTTACTTTCATGTACTCGTAATGCTTGCAGGCATTGAGGGAAGTTGGGAAAGGTGATTGGAACTGGATTCGATATCCGTGTTTGTGTTGTGGTTATCCAGTATAAACAAAACGGGAGGCCTCTACCCCTGGGCATGTGTGCTTGCGTGTGTGCTTGCATGTGTGCGTGGAAGGGGAATTTTGTATGAAGAGGAAATGCAAAATGATCCTTATTATTGTCAAATGATTAATCAGGTCACTTGCGCTAGTTATGTTTTGTAGCGCGTCTCCATTCTGTCTGCTGTGCATGCTGCACATGTACATGTACAACTGTTTCAGTAATTTTAAGTGTGTTTTTAAATTTTTAGTAGTCTTCTGTCCTTCTGCTCTTAGATAATATGCTAATGTAAGGCCTGGTTTATACAGTTTACTGTTAGAAGTGTGATAGGGTGTTTTGTTTTGCCCTGGTGACCTAAAGATGCTTTTGTAGGTCCTCCAGTGCCATAGTGCTTTTCGTTTTCTCATGGTACATTTACACAGTGAAAGGTGAAGCCTTATACCTTCACAAGAGGAAACTGCGTATTTCCTCAAAAGTCTGTATAGGTTCCCTCCTTGCACTCATGTTCTTGCCGTTTCAGGCCTTGGGAATAAGTAAATTGATTGGGGTGGTAGTCTGACAAATCAGTACGTTTGTCACATGCCTCTGATTTATAATGTATTTCCTCATTATCACCTCTGTGTACATTTGTTTGCTTGGTATATGACACATGAAACAGAACTGAGTGATGAATATACCATGTTTAAAAGCATTTATTCCAGTGAATATATGGTGTTTCAAAGAGTTTATTCCAGTACTTTTGGGATGGCCTTTCTGAATAAGAGCTGCCTTTGAAGGCTAAGCTGAATGTAGCTGAGTAGCTGCAGAATATGTGTACTGTTAATTTTATTTGAAGCTACTTTGGGTTTGTTTGTTTTCTTTGTTTCTTTGTTTGGGTTTTTTGTTTGCTTGTTTGTTTTTTTAAAGATGATTGCCAAAGACTCCGTAGTGTTGGGAAATGAAAAGTATGATTGCATGAGTTTGCACTGTAGGAGTCTATTTTAGAGTGAGGAAAAAACCCCAGCCTCTTGCTGAAATATTTCAGCTCTCCTGGCATTGATGGGAGTACTTTCTCTGACATTATTAATGATCACATTTACCTAAAATTAGTACAAGGAGGTAGGAAAAGCTCTGAAGAGCCGTGATGACCTCAGGAAAGACTGCATATTGATGCTTGCAGAAGCTGCGGGCAGCCGCAAACTCTGAAGACTGTTTATCAGTAATGGTCTTCATGGCAAAGAAAGCTTTAAAACCAAAAAAGCTTCCTTGCACTGCCTGATGAAATTAAAATTTTGCAGAGCAGGGGTAGTCACCAGCCTTTTTATAAGCAGATACTGGAAGTAAAACCTCTGCATTCAAATGGGTTAATTATCATTCAACTTGATTCCTGAAAGCAAGTGATCTAATCTGACACTTAACCTTTTTCAACTTGTAGCTTCCAGTCACTGTATGGTAGATGAGTAGAGTTTTGTTTAACAGGTTTAAGTGGCAGTAGCATTATCCTCCCCCCCTCCCCCGCCCCAATAATTTCCTTTCATGGTTTCCAATGATCTGTGAATACTGATTGAAAGCTATTGTGCTAGCAGATTTGGCTTATTGGGTGCTAGCTGAACCACAGGTTTAGTGACTGCACCTGGCCACTTAGTTCTTAAGCAGTAATAATATCTATTTTATTCTGACTTTGACCTTTTTGATATTTTCCTTAGACAATCTACTTCATCTTGACTCATCATCATTCCAGGATAGAGGTGTCCTTGGGGCTCTCTCTTAACACTGATATGGTACAGAAGATTTAAAATCAGGTATTGTTCTGGGTCCCTTTTTCCCACCAAAATGAAACACACAATCTAGAACTGAATGCCTTTTATTTCCCCCCCCCCTTATGTGATTTGTCTTAATATTATGATTCTTTCAGCTGATGTTCACAAGGAATAGAGTCACGTGATGTATGAAGGCAAACACATACACTTCTCTGAGGTTGACAATAAGCCCTTGTGCTCGTATAGCCCCAAACTGTGCAAGCAGAGGCGACTTAACGGCTACGCCTTCTGTATCAGACACGTTCTGGAGGACAAGACTGCCCCCTTCAAGCAATGTGAATATGTGGCCAAGTATAACAGCCAACGCTGCACCAACCCCATCCCCAAATCTGAGGATCGTAGGTGAGTTGTGGTTACCTGTTACAAAGTGGTAAGTGGCTGGGACATAGGCGTGAGCTTTCTTTTACGAGGCTGCCTGGTTTCAGAGTGAGGAAGGAACTGACCTAAGTGGATTGAATTCCAGGAGGGAATTTTTTTAACAGTTTTAACACCAGTAAACTGTATTTTATTTTCTGTGGGAGCCAAGTACTCCGGAGACAATAACGTGCTGCCAAGGAAGTTTCTGGGAGTTTCTTGCTTTTCTCAAATTCACTATAAACTGTGGATCAAACCTACTATGCACTACCTGCTGTTCTAATTAATTTGCTCTGTCACTCACAGTATATGCTCTTAGAAAGGCCTGCTTGTTTGGCCAGCTGTGCCAAAAGCACACTTCCATCTGCTTTTCATGACAAACGGTTGAAAATGCATACCTTCTGGGCTTTGGGAGCAGTGACACATGGGGGCAAATCCAGAATTACAATTCAGTGTTTGTGATTTGGTATTGATATATAGTGTTGTATTACTGGATTAAAATAAATATTTCTTAATAACAGATGAACCAGATGGGAAAGTGATGTCCACTCCCATTTCTTCTTTGCTTCCCTGCTTCATCTGCCCCTCTTCCCAAATAGAGATGCCCAGGGTGCCCAGGTATTAAATGTCTTGCAAGAGATAGCACTTGCAGTTGTTGGAGAGCTGGGAATTCAGACCAGATTTACTGAATTGCAGCCCATACTGCAACCGCAAGGGCATTCTTCTTTGCTTTTTAAGGCTTTATGAACACCAGTGTCATTGGTGTTGCTTGGGTTGAAATAGTAGAATTTGTCTTGTCTTGTCTGCCAGGTATATATGACTTCAGTTTTTCAGTCAGTTGCATGCTTTGACTGCAACACAGTATTTAATTAATGTGTATGTTAACTATCTGAGGCTTGATCTGTTAGAAGTGATTTTTTAACCTAAAATATAAACAAAATATGCCAAAACCGAGTCAAGCCACCATTCACTGACCTTTCACATTATGAGCTGCTATTCACTAACCTTTTGCATTATTAGTAGTGTTCCCACTGTGCCCTACATACATTTTCCTTCTCAGCTCACAGCTCCCTCTCTTGTCTGAAACAACAGTTGGACTGTGCTCTAAATTAACTTGCACTTCACCTGCCATTTCAGTTGAGGAGACTGATGAAGTGAGAAAAAACCATGAATGTTTGTCAAAAGCTGTAGGGCAAATGCTCAAATGGCACAAGATGAATAACTTTAAGCTGTAATTTGACAGTCGGTGACTGTTTCTTTGCTGCTGTACAATTGAGGCTCTTTGGAAATAAGCTTGCAGAAATGATCATGGAAATTGTTAGCACAAATGGTATGCTGTAATTTCAGATGCAGGAGCTGACTGAACCAGAGTTGCTGTTTACCAAGGGTCATACTTAAAAACAATAGAAATAACACCACTTAATGACACTTTTTTAGGTCTTATATGTTGCCATGAAATTTGAGATTTTTCTTTACACCTTGAATTGAGTTCACACTTTGTTCTTTTTGATTTTTCTCAAGTTAAAGTGAAGTGTGGTCATGACATCTGGTGTATGTTATATTAGAATAATTCAATTGCATGTCGAGTGTCATATTACAGTACTCGAAGAGGACAGCAGGTGTCTGAAGGAGAAAATAAACTTTTAATTTCAAATGAGAGGATGTGATAGTTTGAAAGAATATTTTAAAAGACTGCTTCTTAGGGCAGAGCTTAACTTTAACAATAAAACTTAATGAATGCGACTGTGCCTGCTCTAAACTTCCTCTTTTTTGGCAGGCAAACCTGTATCTGTTTCTTAGGTGACTTTTTTCACACTCCATTTGATATAAAGATCTTTGCTATGTCTGAGGTCTTCACTCATAGCTTTTAATTTTCTGTGTACAGAATTGCTGTCAGATGGTCATTTTGTCACAGTTGTAGACATGTAACTGTACATGATAGAAGCAGGCTGTATGATGCTCTGACAGCTATCTTTCTGGATGCTTTTAAAGATGATAAGAAGAGTCTTAACAGGACACATGCATTACATGCCAAAAGCTTCATAGTCTGTCCACAGATAATTAAAAAAATTATCACTTGACCTCAGACAAATGAGATGCTACCAGCCACAAAGATGTTTAATATGCTCCCATATTAGTAGATTTCTTGTTAACCATTAACATTCTGCAAATTAAATCTATTAATAGTGCATGACTTCACTGCTTTATTTGAAGTCTGGTTTCTCTTTTCACTATCTTGCTTTTTTTAAAGAGTCTGCATGGGGTGATACAGACATGGGTTCTGTATATGTATGCCCTCTGAATATGTTCCTAATTCTTTTTTATCCAAATATATGCATAAATTTTGAAATTCAGCTTCACTTTTAAGTACAGGGTTATTACAATTTAGCTGGGTTAAGTGCCATTTTATCTCTAATTCTCCTCTTTCAAGAGAATCTTTAAAATATTTTGTTAATATGCAAGATGCTTTCCAGTTTATTTGGATCTACGTTTAAATAAGGGACAGAACGCGATACCGGTCTGGGATGTACTGGGAAGCAGAATGGAGTTGTATGTGGAAAGCCATGCCCTGGGATGTACTGGGAAGCAGAAGGCAGTTGTACATGGGAAACTGTCCAGCTGAAGCTTTCAGAGCCTGTCACCCTTTGTGTGTCTCATGTTACAATAGTTTTAGTGGATATCAACCCACTGCTCTTACCATATGTGCTCATTGCATCTGACCTCACCTGCACAAAATAAGTGCCTTTGTCACTGAGTAGGGAAGGGGTGGAAAAGACTATATTAGGTAACTCCATGTGATCCTCTTAGCTGGGAGTAACTCACAGGCAGGTTGTAGAAGTGACAAATTGAGCCACTAAGTCGCATCAGAATTGGCTCTCATAGGGCCAGCTTGACCGTAACAGGTTTCACACTCAGAGCTGTGTGGAAGGGCCTGTGCTACTTAGAGGTGCTGTTCCGGTCTTCCCAGTAATCTGTCATCCATGGTTGTGGTTTAAACCCAGCCAAAACACAGTGCTGTACCAGCTACATGGAAGAAAATTAACTCTATCCCAGCCAAAACCAGGAAAACTACTAACGCCTTTCCTGGCATTACATCTGATCCAAAGTGTTTATTGCCTTAAGTCGGCTGGTTATAGACTGGTGCTGGCCGAGTCAGTTAATATCTGCAGCACTGTGTAAAGTCAGAGCCCATTTGGACCAGGGCCAACAAAAATGTCATCCTAGAACTTGAAGGATGGGGAAGTTGGTGTGTATGCCTGCCTGGCTGTGCATGGGAATAGCTAGAGCCTGACAAGGCCAGGGTTGGGTTGGTGCTATTAAATTATGTCTGGCCAAAACTGCCTGTGTGTAGTCTCTCTAGCCAGAGAGAGAAAGACCTAAGCACTCTTCCCAGTTTCTTCTTGCTTCTTTTACTCCAAGGTGTATCAGCCTCAGTTGTGCTGAAAGGCAGAGATTTGGTAAGAGCCTAAAGCACAGAGCCAACTCAATGTGTACAGGAGTCTGCAAGTGCTTGTGATCTATGTTTTCATTATGTTGTAGCCTGGCATCTATGAGTTTGTGTCCAGAGGTGTAAGATATAGTTGATCCAGTGATGCAGTATGGTCAGTTGTAAGAGACAAAGCTTTGTTCTGTGCCGTATAAAGATGATTCTGTTACGGTTAAATGAACAAGCAAAACCCTTGCTAGCCTAAAACTCAGAGAATGTTATCAAGCTTCTTACCTGTTTATTTACCTTATCTATTATTTGCTTTCTCTTTGTTTTTCACAATGAAAACACACAAGCTAGTTTTACCTTCTCACTTTGGCACAAGCACAAAGTGGCAATATTTAAGTTCTGAACAATAGGAAGGAAGCATTCACGTGCAGCACAGCTCTCTTTTAGTCAGAATTAGAGGGGGGGAAAATCCCCTTGTATTTTTTGTCTGTTTATTGTTTTGTTTTCTGTCATACTTAAAGTGCAGTTGCAACTGATCTTAGTCTTGTTCAAGCAAAATACTTTAAAAGTGCTTAATTGTAATTTTGGGAATAGTGCTGTTAACTTTAAGGAAAGCTTTGTTGAGCCCTCATTATATAATTTTATTTTTAGAAGTGTGTATCTCACTATGAATTTACAGTATTCCAGTGTGTTCTAATAAGGATTTCACACATCACTGGCTTTCAGCTTGCCTCATCTAGATTTATTTATTGCTTGCAACTTAATTATTTAGACAGTAATAAGTAGCTGTACTTTTCAGCCTTTTCTGATTTATGAGTCCTTATGGGTGTGGATGCTTCAAGAAGCTACTTATATGGAGATTGTTAAAGAGCATATATGAATTGCTTTTTTGGTTTTTACCTTTTATGGACCCTTTAGAAGCAATTCATGCATTGTTTCTTTAGGGGTGGTTCAACAGGCTGGAAGTTACTAAACTGAAGTGTTAAACCTGGAGGGGGGTGGGGGTGTTGGTTTGGGCTTTTCTGCTGTTTTTTCTCCATGAAGACCAGGAATAATTTAATTTTAATCTATTTATTCAAAAAAGCCCTTTTCTTGGATTTATATTGACTGGATTTTGAAGAATACCTTCATGGGTATTTCCTTATCTTATCAATAGATACATTGATGTAGACATCACTCTTTCCCCATATCTTTGTTTTCACCTATAAGCTGCACATTATAGGTGGAATCCTGCAAGGGCAGAAGTCTTGATTGCTGGTGGCATTCTACAGAGGCAGAAGGGGCCTGCCTGTGTGAAACAGGAAAAGGATCAGATAATAGTTTCTACATTTCTATTAACTGCTTGTTTTAATCAGACAAAGATTAATTGTTTACTTCTTAGTATGTTTTTTTTTAATCTGTGGCCGTAAGTTGCAACTCTTTAATTTTCATTACAGACTTTCAGAGGCTTTTTTTTTTTCTTTTAATAACATGACTTTCAAAGCTTTTTTTAATACATGTATTAGAGGAGTTTAAAATCCATGTTTATGGATTGTATGTATACATATTCCTGTCATTGTGTAAACATTTTCTAGCAGCAGAGAACTTCTTTTAAACTAGGTTTTTGTTTGAAGAACATTCAGCTAATTCTCTGGCTACAAAATTCGTCGTGTTAAACTACTATTAAGTATTTATGCTACTTGTTCATCAGGTGCAAATAGTGACCCTTCTCAGCAGGTGTCTGTAGTGAGATTGTCCATATAAGAAACTGCTCCCTACTACAGTGGAATTAGTAATAATACTAATGTGTGTACTGATAAAAATGTTAGCTACTTCCAGTGAAAGAAGAGTCAAATGGAAGGAAGTAGTCTTCAGTGTACTTTTTCTTGGGAGCTTTTCAAATGATCGTATTTAATGGCTTGAGTTCTTGCTGGTTTATGTGTCAAAACAGTCCATTTGTTTTGTTCACTTTGTTTTGTGAGTATTTACCCTGTTAGAGAGTAAATATTTTGAATGGCTGTGTGTGAATTTCCTATGAGTAATGAATGAAGACTTTTATATCTTGAGATTACAAATTGTCACTTGTAAGTTTTTGTTTTCTCTTACAGGTTGGGAACACCACAGTTGTCTGTTGTATTAGAAACAGTTATGTACGCTTCTTATAAAACCTCTTGTGTTTCAATCTGTATTCACGAGATTGAGGGGGCTTCGCTTAGTGATGTCTGTTTTCTTCAGATTTTACTTACAGGAGTTGAGTTAGTCACTGACTGCTTTTACTTTTCAAAGGTACTGCAACAGCCACCTACAGGTACTTGGCTTTATACCGAAAAAGGAGAGGAAGAAAAAGAATGATCCCATAGAGGACGTAAAGGTCAGGCATCAGATGGATGCTATGGCCTTCAGTCTGACAGTGCCCACCCTGGCCTTGAAGATGCCCAATGGACTGGATGGGATGTCCCTCTCCCCTCCAGGGGCTAGGCTTCCTCTCCACTACCTGGAGGCAGAATTAGAAGACCCCTTTGCTTTCAATGAGGAGGATGATGACCTAAAGAAAGGGGCAACGGTGAGGAAAAAGTTGCAGAGCAAGTTGGCTCAAAACCGGCAGCGCCAGAGAGAGACAGAGATTTTAAAAGTTCGCCAAGAGCACTTTAGCCCCCTTCCTGCACCTTTGCAGCAGCAGCCTCTGCAGCAGCAGCGCTCCCATCTGCCACCTTCATCAGCTTCGTTAAAGCCGACAGGGCTACCGCAGGGCGTAGTCTGCAAGTCACCTCAACCTCCGAACACCAGCCTACCAATGCAGGGAGTGGCACCCACCACACACACTATAGCACAAGCCCGGCAGTTGTCTAACAAGAGACCTCTGCCTCTCCTGCCACCCGCTAGGGCTCCTGTCACGGACCCTCCAAGGACTGATCGGGTCCTCATGAAAGCCACAGCCTTCTCTCCGCACTCATCCTGCATGAGCCGGCTACAGAGACTGGTGAAACTGTGCACTCGAAAACAGCAGCTGGAGACTGATCTGTTTCCACATTTAGGTGGGTAGATAATAGAGGCACTGCCACTTCTTCTTTTTTTTAACTTGAAAAAGGGAAATATCTTCCTAGCTCTGTCCTGCATTTGTGTGTTGCCCTGACAAATAACTCTGACCAGGTAATATCTGGATGTTTTCTTTAGCCCTAAAGTGCTCAGGGAATACCTGGGCCCATCCAGTATGGTTTACAGCATTTTGCTTGTTTCTTAATGTTCTGTTAACCATTTGGGAAATCAGTCAGAAGTGTAGAAAACACTGCTTGTATGATACAGGCATTGTATAGAAGGTTCGCAACTTCAGCAATAAAGGTGAAGCCAGCTGTACCTACACAAGTGAGCAAAGTCAGAGTGATAGCTCTGTGACAAGTGCACATTACAAAATGAGCGAAAGTAAAAGTTTGGAGATTTAGTCCATCATTCTCTGCAGATCCAAATTTCCAGTGGCCTGGGAGAATTGGAGCACAAAAGAATTTTTCTTGATGGGGCCTATTGGTGTATGGAATACAGATGAGCAAAAGCAAAAGACTACTGCAGGAGGGCAGCACCGTTACAGAAGATAATTGGAGAGGTGGAGTCTTGTCCGCATTCCAGAGCAGGAATAGTTTCCTTCTTATTATCTAGGAATCATTACAATCGCTTCTTGAGAAGATGTAAGTTAATATAGCCAACTTGCTGCTAGGGCAGTAGTACTCTCTAAAGCATTAAAAAGGTAGCTGATCTCATGGCTTATTTGTCTGATTATGAATACAGACCTAGGTAGACCTAGGCAAACTTGTTTTCTCCCTCACCTTCCAAAGTCACCTTACTTTTCTGGTTAGTTTTAGATTGAGCTTTTCTAACAAGTAAAATACTCACGCTGGTTAAGAGAAATGGGAATCGGTGGGTGATATTAGAGAAGGAATGCCTTTTATGATGGGCCTTTCTTTAAAAGAAAAAAAAAAAAAGTCTTCAAATAAATCTGGACATTTTTCATACAGCATCTTATTTAATTGAAAGCATCTGTAATTTTTGCTATTTCAATTAACCTTTTTTAATTTGCTATTAAGATCTGACCTTTGGCACTCATGGGATAGCTTGGCTATTTGTTCAGAAGATAATTAGCATCCCATAGCATGTCTCCAAAGGAGGTTGTTCTTCAGAAAACCTCTTTGATGGTCCTATATATAATGCAGGTCTTTTGAGGAATGGCAACTCCAGAGGCGCTTCTGAGTGTCGCAGACCCCAAAAGCTTAGAAAGTGACCCATGTTTTGAGAGACTGTAGAAACATCACTTTCTGTGTTTAAAGTTTTACATTCTCAAGTGGTGAAGAGAATACACTTTCCTGAAAAAGAGGCATAGTACAAGAACTGATTAGACCTACGAACATGTGCATCTGCATAACTGTATGTGTATGCAATTAGAACATTTTCTATTTGGCAAAGTAACAGAATTCACGTATTAATTATGTGAGAGTGGAAAAAACATATTTATTCATAATATGCCTTTATATTAAGGACTACTTATGCTGGTTCAGAGAATTTCAGGATTTCTTTTTTATGACAGAGTAGCAATGGAGATGACTACACAATCTTTAAAAAGATGCAGCTAGTTTTAGGTGTACCTACATCACAGCCAAGTAATTGGATATTAATGTAACTGCAGTCTTCAGTGTGAGTATAGCTGAATCTGGATTAGATTTTATTCCTTCATTTCTGCAGTGCCCATTAGAAACAATTCAGAGCAATCTCTGGTTTTATTTTTAAACTTTAGGTAAATAATTTGTTACATGGTAACAATTGTGGACATCTTTATCCAGTTACTGAGTTATTTCATTCATTAATGGAAGGGGTGGGAGTTAACAGTTAAGTTGAAGGTAAATTCTGGCATTTTATTAAATGTCTTAATAGATTTGAGTTTATTTCAAACGAATATCTTGAAAATAGGAATGAAGAATAGAATTTTCAGGATGCTGAAGTTCCTGAAAAATATGGTTTCTGATATTGATGGTTTATGTTAAAGTGTTGCTTCTCAATGATGAAGGTGCTCTTGATGGTGGGTGGTATTCTAAGTATGTGTGTCTAACTCTGAAAGACCAAGTACTGATGCATTTACCAAAAAGCATCTGTCTTCAGAGTCATCTCAGATAGAGTTGTTTAGTTTATTTTTAGCAAAAATAAAGTGCTCCTTAACTCTGCCCCAGCTACTGCTCCATTTTCAGGGAGCACACAAGAAAGTGAAAACGTAATAACGCTGGCTTGTAAATGCAGTTATGGGATTTTATCCCACGTGCTTCAAGGAATTGGCAAGGATTCCACTGGATGTGGAGAGATAGTAGGAAAAACTGCAAAAGTTGAAGCTCCAGATAAACTGTTCCACCTGAGAACTTGCTGGACTCTGCTTCTGGCTGTCCTGTTCAATTGTGTTTAGCTTGACTGAGGCTGCTGGTTCATACAATAAGTTGATCCTACTGCATCATCATTAAGCAAAAGCATGCTGCTTAGCAAAAGTGCAAGAGCATTTGCATCTCTCCCTTAAGCTCTCTTTTCATGCTAATGTATGCATTTGGCAGGCATTTACAGAGGCTGAGCAGAGGAACATTCTGTGTAGCTGTGTGTCTATCTCTGTCCATGCTGTTCTGTTTTGCAGTTTTCCTATTCTCCCTCTATTCTGGCACAGAGGAGGGGTCAGAATATGAGCAGAAATGAAAGTGACCTATTTAGATCATGCAGTATTAAAAATTACCAGGCACTCATTTCCTCATGTCAGGGAGTTCTCTGTTACCTCTTCTCTAAAGATCTCGTGTGCTTGGTATGAAAGGTGGAATATTTTTCTGTATTTGAGAAAGCTGGTCATCTTTCTTCCACTGCCAATAAGGAAGCCAATAAGGATTTTTAAAGGCAAACTCAAATTTGACAAAAATCAGTGCATGCTGTTTGCACACTGTAATGGAGCTGTTACTGTAACTTTTCCTATATAATTGAGGATATTATATGACTTTCTCAAACATAATTATGCTTGTGACTATACTACACATTCATCTTCTGTACCATAGTTTGCTCAGAGACTTTTATGAGGTAGATACACTTCTCATCCAGCTTTCATGTTTTCAATTCCCTTAGGGCTGGATTGGTCTGAAGACAGTGGAGAAGAGTTGGAAGATTCAGAGCAAACCTCCCCTTACCAGGTTGCATGGTCTATCCGAGAAACTCTCGGCTATGATAGACATGGGTGAGTATAATTCTTTAGTATTCATGTTGGCACTGGTGGAATAAATCATGTAAATGTGAGCTTCAAGTGGAGTTAGTAGAATTTAAGCACTTGTTCAAGTGCTTTGCTGAAACAAAGGATTGTTTGAACTCATTTGCTTGTAAGAACTATGAAACAGCTTGTCACCTTCTGTCCCAGTTTCCACCTGACTTAGACACCTTTGTGCAGTCTGCTATCAGAAGGATGCATCAGGAAATAATTCAAGCTTATTTGCCTAAATTTAATTGAGTTTGGTTGGATTTATTCATTAACTTGCATGCCTTGCTTAGTAGAGGTAATTCCTGAATTAGAACCAAATGAAAGTAGTTGCCATTGGTTTCTTATCTTTTCTACTGTCTGTGAATGGCTTTATTAGTAAACTTGCTACAGTTTACTCATTAATCTTTACAGTAATTGTGCAGGATGATGTTTCAATGTTTTTTTTTTTAAAGGGTAAGGCACTTTTCATAATTAAGTGTTGAATAAACCTCTGTCAAATAGTTGGGAGCATGAGAGAAAGCGTTGTGATTGAAGGGATAAGCAGAGCTGGTGCAGAAAGACTTACAGTGTTCTCCGTATGCTGCTACATCATAAATCTGAACTTACAGCAGAATATGATAATATATGTCTATTAATGTAAACATTTTAAAGTGCAAAGTTAAAGCAAAGCATCCCAAGCATAGTATTTTAACAGAACTGAAGCATGTTGATAACAAAATGAAATTTGGGTCTCAAAATTTGTGCTTTTTATAACATGATTCTCTTTCACTAAAACTGGACTTTTTGAGACTACAACTCTCTCTGTTTCATTTTTAAATATCACAGAGTAATGATGTTAAAGAAATGTTATTTTGTTGTTACATGAAAATTCTGAAACTTACCAGCACTTCTCACCATCTCTAAAGTCTGCCCACAAGGTGAACAGCTTAGTTCTATCTCTGCCATGAGGACAGACACCAGGATGCTGCATACAGAGAGCCTTCAGTGAAATCAAAGCTGTGTAGACTTAACAGGAAAAACCTCTTCTTTGTAAGAAAGTTATGAATGACCATTGTTTTTTAGGGCATCAGCAGTCAGAGAGAGAGAGTGAGCTTTCACAAACACTAATTTTAACTTAAAAGACAACTTTTAACTGTTTTGGGAAAACATGAACAGACTTTCAGACTTTTAAATCATACATAATTTTCAGAGCAGACATATCTGTTAAATAACTTCACTTGAACTCATCTCTCTTTGACATTTGATCTGCTTTTCCCATAGATCTTTTTTTTTTTTTTTTTTGTAAACTTATAAAGGTCATCTCTGTGTGTTCTGTCTTCTATTTGTCTTAACATCCTTCAGATTCTTCCTATTCTTTTCACATACTGAGAGAAAAGAATAGCTTGTCTGGATGTTTTCTGTTCCATTATAGCATTTTTTGCCCCTCAGTTAAACGCTGTCTTAACTAACCATGATGGATAATTTTTTGTATGGTGCTAGCTGGTTTTGTACTTCCCATTAGCCTGCCCAGTGTTAGCTCTGTAACTACTTTCCTAATTTTGTTTATAGATAAATATTGATGCATTCACTTGATGTCAGCCTTCTTAAACTTTAATTCCTATTCTGCAAGCTTCTGTAGTGGCATCTATTACCTGTAATGTTTCACCTTAACACTTCTGCAGTGGTCTGGCTGCTGCTAAAAACGAATTATCTCAGGCTATTTCTTGGGTGATCCGAGTTGTCAAAATGACTCTGTCTTGCTAATCTGGAGTGGTGGCTCCTAACTTAGTAAGCCAATGACTTGTTATGAGTCTGAATTTTACCAGGAAACCAATGGAGATTGTTTCCCAAAACCTTTAGATTCTGAAATCACATACCTGAATTTTACTATGAAAGCTATTTTTTCCTCTGTTCACTTGTGTTTGAGCTCATGGTCCCTGTGCAAGAGGGGTAATTCTCCACCAGCTAACTCCATTCTTTTTCCGTTTGACTTCGTGGAACACAGTGGGAGTGATGCTTCTCAGAACAGATCAGTAAAAGAAAGCCAAGAATCAATTTCTTTGTTACTGGACAGCTTGTTCTCAGCATTTCTGGTTGTGTGATTATGAGGGTAATCTTCTAACTTCCTGTTGAACTTTTTTGTGGTACTCTAGCTGCTCTTAAGCTATCAGAAATTCACCGGATTGATTTAAAATTCAGGTCTTAACAGTAATACATTTTTGAGTTCACCTGTGTTCTGGCCTTTCAATCTGTAAAACTCATGTTGTTCCAGTCATTTGTGTAAACACAGGGCAAATGTTTGCTTTTATTATTCTGTCCTTTAATTTTGAAAAATTGGGGTTCCTGTGTGTCACAGGGTTCCAGGATGCAGTGCTTCGAGGCAGGCATGTTTGAATTCACATAGTAGTGCAGGAGTTGGCGCTGGACACAGTGCAGACAGGAATTCCCTACAGGAGCAGTGATTTGGAGGGAAAGCAGGGGCTGTTCCCAGCCATAGATTAGTGAAGCTTCCCCCCAGATGATTCAGTTACTGGATCTTGCAGCTTAGAAGGTGCTGGAAAACAGATGACTTTAAAACAAAGTAGTTTTTCACTTCTTATGCTGAAATACAGATAAAGTGAACATTTCAAGTAGCGAGTTTGAAAACGGAGTGTGAAGGTTGGAGGCCTGCCTCATACCAGCTCACTCAAAGGAGGAAATACCACTACCGTATTGTGGAAGTTGGATTTAGTAGCTCCCTGTAACTAGGAGAACTAAAAAGAAGGGAAGGTTCTTCAAATCCCTCCTTACAGAGGGTTTTGAAGCATAGTTGTTGAGGTGTCTCAGACTAGAGAGTGTATTCTCCTGGTTCCCTGGTGGTGCCTGGCTGCTCCCAGCTACCCTTTTGCTCTTCCTTTCTGCTGCTTCATGCTGCCTTCGTTTTCTCCATGAACACACAGCGATAATTCCCCTGATGTTTACATATGACAGTCTTAAAGGGGAGGGTTGGGAAGGAGCATTTTGGATTATCAAATGGTTTGTGTGCACTTTCATAGGAAGGAAATGCCACACATTAAGTTGAACTTTGAAGTTTTGTATGCAGCTTAAGAGAATAAACTGAATAGAAGTTGGTAAACTTGTTTATGAAAAAACAATAAAAGTACCTTTCAGTTTCAGTACTTGCCTAATGAAGACAAAAAAAAGGCAGTGTTATTGTGATATTTTTAGGTTTCTTTAAACATATAATTATGTTTCGTTTAATGTTGCTGACCTGGAAACAGAATTCTGAATAGACTTTTAGAAACTGCCTCAAAATAAGCCTTTGCCCGTTGCAGGCATGATTTCTTTCTATGTCTTGTATGTGTGTCTTCATCTACTTCCTTAAAAATGATCTGGTAAACTGCAGTTCAAAATACTGTAACATAAGATGACTTTTCTCTGTCTATTTCAATAAGAGAGAAGTAAAAAGTCTCAAATATATGGACACTTGCATTAATAAACCATCTTTTCACCAGAAAGAAACACTGAGGAATATTCCTGTCTTTTTAAAAACCTAATTTGTAACCATATTTAAAATTAAATCAGTATATATGCAACTTCATTTAAAAATCTTGGCCCAGAATCTGAGACCTTAAACCTACCTATACCTAATTGATCCCATCCATATATATTAAATAGCACACAGTTAGATTTTTCTAAACAAGTTGTTTTTCCCAGTGGCCATTCTTGCTATCCCAGATCTTTCCATTGACAATGTTTAAGTTGTATTTGTTGCTAGGCATGTAACTGGAGAGGTTAATTACTTGTAATTTATGCTTCTAGAAAATTACCTGTATTCTGTTTTAACAAGCAAAATATGTAGTATGGTTGACTTTAGATAACATTATATAAAAATGTGTTTGTGTCAAGGCAGTGTTTACTCCTGTGGAGTAAATGTGGACAGCCTTAGTGGAGATGGATGCAGTCTCTTATATTTGGCCTGCATGTAAATAGAGTAAGAGTTTCCAGAAAGAAAAGTAGGTCTTAGTCATACTGCCTTTCAGGGATAGCTGTGCTGCCTCCATTTCTGGATCTTGCTTTATTTAGTAAATATAATGGCTGGTATCTTGCATCTCTTCTATCATCAGCTAGTTGGGGTCTACTTTGCTCTGCACAGGTTTGGATGTAAGCACATTCAGTGTCAGTGGCCAAGCTCTGCAGTCTGAACCCTGGGAGCTTTTAATTTCCTTCATTTGTTTGGATTTGGTTCTTTCCCCCTGCCATTCCTTTGTTTCACAGGTAGGGAAGTTAGCAGAAAGTTTCTCTGATCTGTAAGGAAAAACTGAACAAACTCTGCTTTGCTTAGATTCATTGCATGCGCTTTGTTGCTCCATGAGCAAAAATTAATAATTCTACAAACTAGAATTCTTGTTGTGGAGGGCTTCTGGGTAGCTTCGTAGGCCTTGTTATTTTAAAAAGTCCCAGTGACGGTTTTATTGTTACATGATTTTTACTTCATTTAACTGAATGTGTTGTCATGGTTTGATGGTCTTGCTGACATGTACCTGGACATATGGAAAGCCAAGATAAATGGGAAAAGGCTTTCTTAAGCAGACAAAGAATTGGATTAGTCCTTCGTCTGATCACTGCTTAGCATTGGTCTGATTTTTTTCCCCTCAGTGCCTTTAAAGTTAAATGTGCATTTCTTCTCCGTGGCTGTATTGTAACTCAGCTATAACTCTGCAGCAAGGGGAAAGCAGTATCAGCTGCTAGGTGTGTTAAGTGTGTATATTGGTTAAGAAAGGAGTATGCTACCTGCAGCAGTAAGAGCAATTGGAAAAAGTCAGCAGTTTTGGTACTTGTTAATATTGGACCATCTTTTCCAGCATGACCTTTCTTCAATAAGCTTCCACTGCGTAGTTCCCCACCCTTGTCCTCTCCATTAATTGCACTTTGATTTAAGAGTTTGTCTCATTTGCTGAGACATTTACAGTAAATAAAGGTTAACAGTATAGATTTTTTTTTGAACAGCAGGCTCCAGACATTTGAATGTGTCAGATTTCATGATGAATTGATGTAATCTCTAATAATGACATACTAAGAAGGGCAAGTACCTTTAGACTTCAAAAGGAATCCTGCTGTTACCGTTTCTCAAGCACCCCTGCCTGATTTCAGCCTTTGGGTGTTTGTGGGGCTAGAAGATGGATACCAACTTAACCAATCTATTAAAATGACAAATTAGTTTCCTTGGAAAAAAAAAAAAAATTAAAGTACTTAAAGCTTATTTGTTTTTATCTTCCCTTCTTTAGGTGCGGTGATGACAATGCAGATGACAGGAGTTCCAGGGTGACCAGACTTTGCACTTACTTTCAGCAGAAATACAAGCACCTCTGCCGCCTGGAGCGGGCAGAATCTCGTCAGAAGAAATGCCGGCACACACTCCGGAAAGCCTTGCTGCAGGCGGCCAGCAGAGAGCCGGAGCGTACTGGGCAACTGATACAAGAACTCCGAAGAGCTACGTGTGCTCGTACCAGGTTAGACCTTCCCCTGTGACTGGAGTAACGTGGGGTCTGGACAGGGTGGAGATGGACAGAATATCCAGCAGCTGAAATGCTGAACTGTGAAACTGGTAGGCATGCACAAGGCAGAAAATCCTCATAAATGCCTGTTGGTGAAGTAAAATAAACATGGCATACAGGGCTTTCCATGAAGAGAGGCATTCTTCAGCTTTGTGCTTTAAAACATGAATTGTTTGTTCAGCAGTATTGGGGTCCAAGTCCTTAAATGTTACAAAACAAGTTAGTGACATGCTAAAATTTATTCTTATGAATTAATCTATGCATTTCGGCTGCCTTCAAATATGTGGTACTTTACTAAGGCTGGTTCTTTAGAAGGTGTGCAGTCTGGTTTGCCGGTCACTGCTTCAATTCAGATTTTGTTTTTCAGACAGCTTTTTCTGAAAAGTCTTTACTTCCTCTTAATTATCTTCCCAGCAAATCAAGCTTAAGTTCATGCTTTTTGTTAGACTTAACTCAATCTAACGTTAAATGAAACCTGGCAACAGAATGAATATCTTCTAACAACTCGGAAGGTTACCTTCTGTGGGAGTTATTTCTAGATAATGTCAACATCCCTCCAGCTCTCAGCATACTGAGAGTTGGTTGGTTTGTGTTTGTGCAGAAGCAGAGTAAGTCTGAACCCTGGCGTTGTCTGGGGTATCAGCAACATACTTTTGCTGTTGTGATTTTGCTTTACAAGATGTATGACTGTGGGGGTAGGAGAACCAAATATGAGAGGCAGGCTGGAATAGGGTACTGAGAGTATATTCTTGTTATGGGATGCTTTTGTTCCTGGACAGCAGGCTGTGGTTCCTGAAAGTTGGAGGGTTTCTTGTTGGGGAGGCGGGATGATGCTGAAGAGCTGCTCAGAGGTGTAATATGGAGGTATATTGCTAGTTTACAAAGTTGTTTAAATGCCTTCAAACTTAAACTACAGCAAAACCCTGCCAGAACTGACAAGCTTTTGTTGTTTGGTTTGGGTTTTTGAGGTCTTTCCATTATTTTTGCCTTCTGTTACGCAAAAAAGATGATGTTGTTTTGGTAGACTGACAAAGCCAGGTATGCCAGTCATCACTGCTCTGGTTAATTTGAGTAATCACAGTCTTTTCAGTTATGAAATTTTTCACAGGAGTAATATTGCTAACTAAAACTTTGCTCAGTCAAAGTGCAGTTGATGACAGAAATGGCTCAAGGAAAACAGTCAGGCTGCAGACAGCTTTTTGTCAACCTAGAAAACAACGTGTACAGAGGTGAAAGTCAGCCCTGGAATCGCCAGCTTTGTCTACATGAAGGTGACAAATGGCTCGAAAGCAGGCCAACACCAAGCAAGCTGTGTAACGCTTACAGTACTCATCCACACTGCTGTCTGGTCGCCTGCTTGCAGCTCAGGCTCAAAGCATTGAGGCTGTGCTGAGGGAGCACTCAGCTCTGGGCACCTGCTGGTGGATTGGGCTGTAGCACGTTGTTGAAGGAGAGCTTTTACCCATGTTGAGCACAGTCAGACTCTACCACTCCAGAGATCAGTCTAAGTTTGTTTGAGCACATGCTTGCATGTAAGCTCTGGGGATGCTCGGCATGTTTTGATTTATGAACAGGCTTGGAAGTGCACTTGACAGCCCATCTAGGCATACTCAGTTACATGGTATTCTAGAGGTTGACCTCATTTTAAGGGTCACCTGTGTTGACACTCACCTTCTGCTGTCCTTGGCTCTGTTGCAGGGTGTTATACTATTTACATGGTAGTAGCACACAGCACCTTTCATTACAATTAAGGCCCTGTGAAATAAGCAATAATCCTGTTACTGCAGTCACGCCTTTGCCTGTCATTGACATCTGTCCCTGTGTAGAATTCGGTAATAGTGTGCACCCATCTGAATCATGACACACACACATGTGTGTTACAATTTTTCATCCTACTGTGCCACATTCAGTGCAATAGTTTTGCTAACTAACCACCTGAGCCTGGGGTTTTGTCTCTAAACTCTTCCGTGTTTCTTTTCTTTCCAGCACAAGCCAAGTGAGGCAGAGAGATGCAGAACCAACAACCTGTAGTGGGACTTCGAAGGGAGAACAGTGCACTAACAAGGCCCTTCCATTTACCAGGCATTGTTTTCAGCGTATCCTCTTAACACAGTATGGGATTTGGATTCAGGTGTGGGTGCTGCTTTGTTGTAGGGTTTTTTGTTTGTTATGTTTTGCATTGCCAAATAGTTTTCACAAAGAAATACTTGTTTCTTAGTGTCTCATCATCACTCTTAGAATCATAGAATCATAGAACAGTTAGGGTTGGAAAGAACCTTAAGATCATCAAGTTCCAACCCCCCTGCCATTTGTCTCCATTATTTGGGTCTGTAGATGGTGGAGATAAGTAGTTTGCCAGTGGCACCTCTTATGGTCACATCATTTTACCTTTGTAAGCTTTTTTTGGTGGCTGCACATTAGATGTGAGGCTTGATTCTGAAGGCTGTAAGTAGGCAGACTTCTGACCTGGAATACTTAAGAATTTTGCAGACTGTCTTTTTTGGTTTTAGCTGAAGAATTGTGCTTTTGTTGGAGTGGCTTCTTTTGTTGGAGCTTGTAAGTGACTAGTGGTGTCCCAGTAGCTATCAGACTGCAGCACCTTTTCAGCCTTTTTGGTTTGCAGATGCCTTGCTTTTCTTGGTTAATTTTTGCAGTCTCCTTAGAAGTAGTCTGCAGAGCAGCTCAAAATCTCTCTATGAGAGAGCACCATGGTGTACAGCTGTACTTGGGATTTGCCTCATGATCCTGCTTTTTTTGTTTTGGCTTGGGGTTTTTTGTTCTTGTTTATGGTCTTGCTTGTTGGTGTGCATAAAGTAGAGAAGTCAGGACTAGTGATTTTACCCATATTTTTTCCCCTCTGCACTTCCTTCTCAATGGAAACTGTTTCTCGTAAAATGAACAGGCTCTTGGTTCTGAACCATCAGTACAAGTCTGATGGCTGAACTGTTCTGAAGGTTTTTCATTTTCTTTGTCCTTTCTTTTGCATTTTAACATTTTATGAACATACAAAGTGATGTTGAGGTGTGAGAGCTGTTCAAGATGGAAGGAATGCTTCTAATGTTGTTTGAAAAAACACAATGAAATATCTGTTTGATTTGCTGTAAGTCTGGAAACATTTTCACTCCTGCAAGGGATTTTTCTGAAGGAAATCTCAGCAAGCTTACATTTGGATTTACTTGACCTTTCTGTCTGATTGCACATCTTTTTTTCAGAGGAGCAGGAAGGATCTTGAAACTTCTTTGTCTGTGCTCTAAAGATAAATGCCAAAAATGTACCTTAAAAGATTGAATTAAGAAATACTCTTTCTTTAATGTTTCAGTATGGATTGTCATTAGTCTGTAAGGAAATAGTCCTGTTGACTACACTGTTCCAACTGTTTCTATTGATGTATTGATTAAAACTCCAGGAAAAGGCTTCTTTTTGCTAAGAAATCATTAGTGAAATGACTGCTTCTGTAAAACTATCTCAATATATAATAAAATCATTAGAGATCCTGCATTTATGCAGTTTTTCACTTTAAAAGTTGGGTTTGAGCTTTACCTAGCTTTGAACTTGCATAACAAAGTTAAGGTACTCATTAAAAATAGTATCTATGGACAGGTAGAGTTGAAGGCTCTGATCTTCATCAGATTGATAAATCAAAGGGCATTCCTCCATCGTTGCCTTCTGTGTTATTCCTGATTCAGAAATGTACAGATATCTTATTGAACCGTTCTCAGCAGCTCTTCTCAAGTTGCACAGCCAAGTTTGCGGATGGTCAGCAGTGCTCTGTGCCAGTTTTTGACATTACACATCAGACACCTCTGTGCGAAGAACATGCCAAAAAAATGGTAAGTACAAAGCCAAAAGTGTAATTTATATATTTGTATATTGGGATGATCAGGAGTTTTAACCCCAGTCTTTCTATGAACTCTTGCTCGACAACTAGGAAGTTTATCAACTTAAGAGCTTGTTTCCTTTTATTTCTCTTAAGAGGGTACAACATGCCAAACATTCCCATTTAGTATAAAGTATGTTGTGCAAATCTTCTACATACTTTTGAGGATATAGTAAAATGTGCATGAGAATATCCTTCACTGGAAGAAATCTGATTCATCTCTTGAATCGAGAAATAGAAAATCATTGTGAGAGATCCTGTGGTTATTTTATTTGGGCTTACTCCTGACCATTGGATCTGAATATAGTATGAGTGTGGTGTGGGTAAGAACACTGCTTCTCAAGCAGTCTCAGTACATGGGGCCCAAAATATTTTCTAGAGGAAGTGTAGATAGCAGTTACAGGCATACAGATAATGGGTTTGCTGCTTTATTTACCTGTTGGTGACTATTAGAATTTATCTTTAACATCCTTTAGGGATCTGTGGATCCCAGAGGGAAAGCAGTGGCCTACTACAAGTTGAGAGAATATGGAAATTAAGATGATGTTCTCTGCTCTCCTTTTATGGCTCCCATCTTCCAGAAAAAGCTTTTAGAATAATTCACAAACCCACTTCTGTGTAGCCCCTCCTTCAAGGCATTAGGCATAAAACTCCTGAAGACTAATGATGGTTGATTTATTTTTTTCAGTGGTCAGTGATTGCTGTTCAAAACCAATGAAGCCTTAGTTGTTCACCCACATCCTTGCCCTAGTCACACAGCATTAATTCTGTTTCTTCAGTGCTGTCCTACTCTTTTATGGCAGTGGGCAGCTGAGGATGTTGGCTTCAGCTGCTGCACCCTTTTCCCATTATCTCTACTTCACAACAGTGTTCTGTCTTCAGTACTTACAGGAATGCTGCCAAAGGTTACAGTTTTGCAATTATTTTAGTTAGGGTTTGCTATGATTATATTAAAAGCAACACTGCATGATCTCCTATTTAGCATACCTCATAATATAATCTGTGATTTTTGCCATTGGGATCGATGAGAAAGGAAACAGCTTCATTTTTGTAACCGTGCCTGGGTGTAAGCTAGCAGTCTCTCTTGGATTACACATGAATGTCTGTGGAATGACTGGGGGAAAAAGAAAGGAAAGTACTGCATGGTCCGGATATGCTCCCACTGTTACTGTCTTATTCCCAAAGGACAATTTCTTGAGAGGGGACAGCTCCCGTAAAGTTCAGCACCAGCAGCAGAGGAAACCCAGGAAAAAAACGAAGCCACCTGCACTTACCAAAAAACACAAGAAGAAGAGAAGGCGAGGCCCACGCCGGCCCCAGAAACCCATTCCTCCTGCAGTGCCCCAAGGGAACCTCACCATGCCTGCCAGTATCTCACTGCCAGTAGAGATGCCCCACATACGGTCAGTGGTAGCCCTGCCCCAGTTTCCCATTGCTACCTTTAATGTTGTCAGTGTTTTGGATTTGAGTAATTATTTGGTTTGTTGGATAAAATGTCTTGCTCCTGATGCTGCATTTTACCTATCTAATCAATAGGCTAACAAGCTTCCTAAAGAAACCTTCTAAAAACATTTCTTTTCCTAGAAAAAGGGGAAAACAAAAGGTGTGAGGAAGCACCCATTATAGATGGATATGCATTTGTAGTAGTTCTTTGGAGGAATCAGAATTGAACACTGGGGACTAATGGTACTTTCTGTCTAGGAGCCCCTCAACGCCAGAGCTGAGTGCCGATGAGCTGCCTGATGACATCGCCAATGAAATCACAGACATTCCACATGACTTGGAATTGAATCAGGAGGACTTCTCTGATGTCCTGCCACGGCTGCCCGATGACTTGCAAGATTTTGATTTCTTTGAGGGTACTGTTTTATTTTGTTTTATGCTAACGTGAACACAGTCAGTGAACTGAAAAAGGGAGTGTGTCTAACGCGCATTTTGGGGGCTGCTTGCTTTCCTACAGAGGTAATAAATTCTAGACAAGGAAGTGTGCGTTTGCTTTATTGTTTGTGAGCTCTGAAGGGAAGCCAGCATTAAGAAGGCTGGTGTGTGTAGTTCTTGCTTGCTCTTAGAACTACTGCTCTGAAAATCCTAATTGGTTTAGGATTTTAATAATTCATTTTACATTTTTACTGCCTGTCAGTGTTGCAGTTTAATCAAGAGTATTCTCCGTAATGGCATCTTTCTGCCATCGAGTGGGGCTGGAGTCACAGTCAGTGTTGGCCTTTGATAAAAGGAGAAGAGAGTGAGAATAAAATCTTTAAATACGTCTTTGAAACTAGCTTTTGATCAGAACTGTACTTGAATTTCTGGTTTCTAAGGCTTAGTATCTGTCACATACAACAAAGAAATTAGAACAACCCAGCATTGGGGTATGTGATTTCTTTGGTCATTTTCTGATATGAGGTGACATCAGACTGTTGGAGTTGAAATTAACCTAAATTATACTGACTGTGTGACTTTCCGGTCCAGGCTGTAATGTGGTAAGTAGGAGAGAGTTTGTGGACTATTTGTGTTATTGCAGCATTGAAGAAAATCTCATTCGAGTGCTTTTACATTAGGTCTAGTAAGCTGGGGAGGTATCTTGTAGTGGAAGAGGAGGGTGGAGGGAGGGAGTTCCATTGAAGAGGAAGGTGTAATTTCTAATTTTTTACTTTGGTTATCTAGTTAACACAGGTGAATGAAATTTTCTGTGTACCACAAGCCATTCTGAAAGGTTATCATACTCTGCTGCTCTGTACTGAACTGTTTGTACATCTGCAGCCTCAGAGTGCCAGTGCTGGGCTCACCTGAGAGGAGTGTGCTAACTTGTGTGTCCTTGTTCCTGCAGGTAAAAACGGAGATCTCCTTCCAACCACAGAAGAGGCTGAGGAACTGGAACGGGCCCTACAGGCTGTGACTTCTCTTGAGTGCCTGAGTACCATTGGAGTACTTACACAGACAGATGGTGTGCCAGTTCAGGAGCTGTCAGATAGAGGGATAGGGGTGTTCTCTACAGGTGCTGGAGCTCCAGGAATGCAGTCCTTGAGTCGAGAGGTTAACACGGATCTGGGGGAGCTGTTGAATGGGCGTATAGTACATGATAATTTCTCCAGTCTGGAGCTGGATGAGAACTTGCTCCGTTCTGCTACCTTGTCCAACTCACCTACGCCCCTGGCAGGGCAGATCCAGGGGCAATTCTCAGCCCCAGCCAACGTTGGCCTTACTTCTGCCACTCTGATAAGCCAGAGTGGCCTTGGGGAGAGAGCCTTCCCAGGACAGTTTCATGGACTTCATGATGGCAGCCATGCCTCCCAGAGGCCCCACCCTGCCCAGCTGCTGAGCAAGGCAGATGACCTGATCACCTCACGACAGCAATACAGCAGTGACCATTCACACTCCTCACCCCATGGAAGCCATTATGATAGTGAGCATGTGCCGTCTCCCTACAGTGACCATATCACATCCCCTCATACCACATCCTTTTCTGGTGATAACCTGGCAGCTACCTTCTCAGCAGAGATGCCCATGATGGCACAGCACTTGCTCCCAACTCAGCTGGATGTGCCACTTAGCGGGGTGGTCAACCCCAGAACTCACTGGGGGAATCTTCCTGTCAATCTTGGGGACCCCTCTCCGTTTAGCAACCTTCTTGGTGCAGATGGACACCTCCTGTCCACCTCCCTGTCCACACCACCTACCACCTCGCACTCAGAGACCACACAGCCTGCCTTCGCCACTGTGACCCCCAACAGCTCCAGTGTGCTCCCGGGGTTACCGCAGACCAGTTTTAGTGGCATGGGTCCTGCCTCCGCTGAACTCATGGCCTCCACCTCCCCTAAACAGCAGCTCCCTCAGTTCAGCGCAGCCTTTGGGCACCAGCTGAGCTCCCACAGTGGCATCCCCAAGGACCTGCAGCCCAGCCACAGCTCCATAGCTCCTCCCACGGGCTTCGCAGTGACCGGTGCCACCGCTACCAGTACCAATAACGCATCTGCACCCTTCACCACCTCCAGCTGAGCTTGTCTGCCTGGCTCTGTGCAGGTAGATGGGGGACCTGTGTTTTCTACCTTTCCTTTTTTTCCTTTTTCTTTATTTTTTTCTGTCCTCCCTTCCTTTTTGTTTTTTAAGAGGGGGTTGAGAAGAAAACCCCTGCTTCAATACTGACCAGGGTTAGCCCTCTGTGAACCTTGCTGTAGCGTTCACATGTGCTTGTTACGCACCGGTGCTCATTTCTTGCAGGCAGGTTCACCGTTCCCAAAAATTCCTTAAGGATACAGCACAGTTACTGGATGCAATTGATCTTAACAGTAAGACCTAGAAATAGAAAGATACCTCAGATTACTGATGCATGTTACTGTTCCCTAGGGTTTGGATCAGTGCTTGCCATCCCTTTAGCATCTGGTAGAAAGTTTTCCAGTGGGCAGAAGTTTGTTTGGTTTTTTTTTGCTTTTAATTTACCCTTTTCCAAAGGTAGCATCTGGCATGGAAAACTTGGCTGCACGCATTGATTTGAGAATGCTGCACTGAAGTCCTAAATCAAGGTCATGGTTCAAGATGAGTTTGGCATTTTCTTAAAATAGTCTTTTGACCTCCTCTGTGTGCGTGTGTGTGTTTGGGGTACAGGGAGCAGCAGTTCCTTTTCTGCCTTTGGTGAAGAAGTGGGAGTTGTCCCCTTCCAGAGCTGGTCACTGTTGTTGCATGCTGATTTTTTGTTGTTTTGTGGGGTTTTTGGTTTTGTTCTTTTGGTTTTGTTTTATTGTGATGTTTTTTAATTCATTGAGCAGCAAGGGGAGCAGTTGATTGGGTGCCCAGAAATCTGAAGGCTGATACAAAGTTAGCCCAGGGGGAAAAAGAAAGAAATTAAACCAGAAGGATTGAAATAGATCATGAGTGAAGATGAGTGAAGATTCCTGTGCAGAAATTCCCTCCTTTGCTGAATTACTGTGGCCTTGTAGCATTGATAATTTGCCTTTTCAAATGTGGCTTTGTCCAAGAACTCCTTGCCTGACAGGCTGACAGGTATTTCCCAGCTGAAACGGGAAGAATTTGGTTGGTATTCTGCCCATCCACACAAGTCTAGGTCAGACCCTTTGGTAAGTTTCAAATGGATGCATTTCTGAAGTTATATCTAGCTACTGAAACTTTTTTGGATAGTTTTCCTCCCACTGGGAGCCATACAATTTTTTCAACGCTTGTGAGATTTGATGCTCTCTATGGGAAGCTGAATGTATGTAAGGAACCAGCAAGTACCTATCAGCAGTCATGGCTAACCAAAAGAGAAATCACTAAAGCAAAATAGAAAAGAACCCCTTCTGTCTGCAGCACAGTTTTGCCTTTACTGCCCACCTGCTAAAGGTAGTATTCAGACTTTTTGGTAGTAATTTGAGTTCTTAAAGAAAGGAGTTCACTAGCTTTTAGATTTTTATGGTTTTTAATCCAAGAGAGAGCAGCAGCAGAAATCCTTAGGTGTGTTTAATTGTATCTCTTTATCAGGAAAGGGAAAAAGGAACTTGCTTGTGACTTTATAGGGCTCAAACTTGCTACTGTACTCTAACTGTAAAAGTAGCTCCTACTTAATGTAACAAGTCTCTACTCTTCTTTGTTTCTGAGATGCAGATGAGAGAGAATGGAAAATCCCACGTTTCAGTCTCTTACTGACATATTTCATTCTACCTTGCAGTAAAACATCCTACCTGCATGTATTCTAAGATTAATTCAGGAAATTAAGAGATACCAAGCACATGTAACAGAGAGGCCTAATAAATCGTTTGAGCAAGGGATCATTGAATGAAGTTAAGTTGCTATAGAAACTCATTTTGTTAGCAGTCAGGCCCGCACCAGAACCTCTGACCCAAACCTCTCCTTCCGTCTTGCTAAGGAACAGAATTTAGATGGGAGATAGGTCTTGTGTCTGCTTACTATCATAGCAATCATTCTATCCCTCTTTTCTTGAAAGATTTTTCCTCCTTAAATACAAAGGAGTATGGATGATGCATATGTTCTTTTCTGAAATTGCAAGTGTTATGTGGGTGGAGGAAACAAAAATTATTTTCATGCTTCTGTTGTTATGAAGTCCTTATTTCATACTTGGTAAAATAGATCTTAATAATATAAGCCGAATATTTTTAAGTGGTGATTTAAATATGTTTGTAACATTTAAATGTTTTAAAATCATGTAAAAAGTTGAAGCCTATGAAATCCTGCTTGTGATTGTCCTGCTGATTGAGGAATGCCCAGTGGTATTGTGAAATGAGGCAAATCTGACAAGGCATTTATTTATGTTTGTATTATGTTCCCCATACTTTGTTGAGGAGACAATTGTTTGATTTGCAAATGAATTTTGTTGTGTCCATATACCTTCTTAAATGTGTTTGGATGACTGGCTGAAAAAGAGTGGAGAATTAGTATACCAAATGGTTAATTCTTTAACCTGCCTCTTTATTCATGTAATTTTAGAGGATGTTAATTTCTGTAAATTGGTTTCAGGACTTTGGTCTTGGTATCATTCTTGTGCCCACCAAACTTCAAAGAAGCTGCAGCTAGTGCAGGGTATATTTGCCCCACATTACATTTCTCTTTCTTAGCGAATGCAGGGGGTGAGGGGAAGGGAACAGAGGAACAGAGAGTCAAGTTCTGCTTGGTCACGTTGGTATAAGTTATGGAGGAGCTCTTTGGTCTAAGGTCATTGTGAGGTTGTACTGGTCTAACTGGGAACAGAACCCAGCTCCTAATCTGGGCATTGATTTAGTCAGGGAATTTCAAAATTGGGAAAAGCTCTACAGGTCCATAATTCCCATTTGAAATCAATGGTCGTTTTGCACCTACCTGCATTCCTTTAAGGCAGCCTAGGATAGCAGCTCTCTTCCCCAACATAGACTTCAATTTTTGTATAATCCTTGATGGCTCTTCCTTGGAAAGTGACTACGTAACGTTTTTCAATAAGCAAACTAAGTTTGCAATAAAGCTGCACTTTTAAAAATAGATTTTGGTTTGTATACATTTGAAATAGGAATCCTTCTGTCCTGTCTGACACAGAGCTCTGAAATGGGCCACCACTTTTGCCTTTTCCTGGTTCACCTCCTGTTTTTTCACTGCCACTGATTTCATGGTTACAGCCTTCTAAGCAGTTACGGGTCTTGATCTTAGCTTTACATGGTGGATCATTCCAGGTGGGCTTCTGCGCTCACGCAGCCTGTTGACTTCAGTGAATCAGTGTCTTATTGTTGGATGTGAGAGATACAGTCTAAGATATATGTGCAGCCAGTTTCACACCTCTTCCTCTAGGAAATACTGCAGTTCTGGTTAAGGTGGTCTGTGCGGCCATTATTTATGTGGTTCCCGAGTAGTATCCATGCTCTTTCACAAAGGTTTTGGTGTATCATCTTGCATAGCAATTAGCACTCTAGTCACCCTTTCACCAAAGAGCCAGTGTAGCAATTTCAGTCCATTGATTTGAGATGATCAATGCCTGTCATACCCTTTATGTATTAACAAATGGAATAAAGGTAGTTGAACCTAAAAGTTAATTTCTTTACATAAGATTTGAGTTTTAAAGAACTGAAAAAAAAAAAGACTTAGAATAAAATACCAGGAACATCATTTTTTGTAATAATATCACCTCTATTAGTCTTTGTACAAAAGTACTTAACACAGGATGAACTTTGACAATGTACAGGAACAGCCTTATGCTCTCCTGGTGTTTAAGGCATTGTGTAAGAGACACTTTAATGTTTCCTTTCACTTGGGAAGACTGTATGCCAACTTTGAGGGGAGTTGTATGTGCTTAGATACCTCAAAGTTGATTTGTTCTTTAGCCTCGTAGTTACTTTGATACAAGAAGATGTACGTCTGATGCAAGAAGATGGAAAAGATGCATCATTTTGTCTCCTCCTGCCTTCTAGTTCCTCCAGGTTTATGCTTAATTCCCTTCTTGTTAGTAGCATTCTTCTCTCTCTGGTTGGCATAAAGCTTTAAATTGATAATGCTGAGAGATAGCACAGTTGCAGGTCTGCCTCAGGCACCATGGAGAAGATGGCAACAGCTAGATTGCCCACTTCATTCAGCAGGTTAGTGAAATGAGGATTTGCAGTACTCATTTGGAAGGCACTGGAAGGCCCCGAGAAGCTTATCACTTGCTAGGCAAAACTCAAGAGATGTTATTAGTACAAATGCAAGGAAAAAAAATATCAGAGGAGAGTCATCCACAATAGCAAAGAAGGCAAGCAAAGCGGCTTTTTTTTGGTTTTGTCTTCCTAGCAGGAGATGGGTATTGAATAGTGGGAAGTTTTGTTGTGAGTTGTTAGGCATAGTGTGCTGCTACTGGCTTCAGGGGCATGGCTGGGGCAGAGGGCCTAGGACTGAACTTGCAAGCCAGTTGCCAAATTCAGTTTGAAGCGTGACTGTGACCACATCAAAGTACAGTCTGGGCTTGAATCTGCTTGCCAGGGAAGAAGTCTCATGAAGGAGTATAATCAACAGTGGACAGATGTCTTCGCTGAGAACATGGCCCTGATGGTTGTGTACATGCATTGTTAGTCTGCCTCTGAACTCCAGCTTCTACCTGAGCTCCTGCAGCACCTTGACTGCTGCGTTTCCTTGTAGGCATCAGCAGGGCTCCAGGGGTATTTCTCACTGTCTTTGTGCTGCACTGAGCTGGTGAATTCTCCCAACAGTATGAGCCTTGGTACAGGGAGGTGAGAATTCTTAGAAGAGCCAGCCACCTACCTGCAGTTGAATCTTTCAGGACTTGTAGGTCGTATGTTTGGTGGCAGGAGGTGCTTTCAGCAGACAACAGTAGAGAGCTTACCTGCAGTGACCTTCTGCAGTGAGGCAATTGGTGTGGGTGTCTGGGCAGCTTCCCTGGTAGGATGTTTAGTTTTGCTTTTGTATTTTTGCCATTTCCTGTGAAGGCTTCTCAGTGCAGGCCTGTTGCAAGGTCCAGTGTTGGTGTCAATATTAACTGAAGGAATAGTTTTGGGCTAGTGTACTGACCAGATCTTCAGGTCTTTCTGATCTTCTGGGCCACATTTAATGATGGAGTGTTGTGGGATTCTTGTACCTCCTTTGTTTCCTTCCCCTCTACATTCTTCATCATTCTTTTATTCTCCCATTCTGAGATAGTTCTCCAATGTAAGTAATGCCAACTGGTAAGTCTTCTGTGGTCCTGAGCAAATACAGCTGTAAAATGAAAAGGAGGAGAGATTCCTGCATTTCATAACATACATTTCAGATGCTGGAAAGACAGTGCAATAGATCAGAGTATTTCTCAAAGCAATGAGCAAGATCATGCTTCACAGCACGCTAATATGCCATAAACTAGATGTTGTGGGTACAGCATTGTTTATGGGAGTGCACATGCTAGCAGTGAATGTGCAGGTATTTTTAGCAAGAGTTTACCTTCTCACAAGTTCCTCTTCTTCTGAGAAGTGCATCAGTAGAAAGTCATGAGGAAGACCGTAAGTTGTTATTCTCAATATGCACAAGCCCAAATGAAAGTAAGGAGACTTGGTGGAAATATCTGCATTTCTGTTTACAAAACTTAGACTTTAGGAGGAGAGGCCTGGTCATGAGAGGCCTTTAGCTCTATCAGGTGAAGTTTTGCTTTTTTCTTTAAAACTAGACAAAAGCACTGTTACTGGGAAAGAAGAGTTTGGTGGAGGAGAAGGAGTTATGCAAGAAATGCTTTTGACAATTTTCTCACTCATGTTTTCAGCCCTTTTTTAAAAAAGAAAAAACCCCACTACATTAGTGACTGGCTTGGGAGCTTTTTCCTTGCTGTTCTGCTACTTTTCCTGGTTGTTGGGTTCTTTGCTTTCCCCTGTTGTATTTTGCTTTTGCATACTCATTCTCTGTCTGCTGTGGAATAAGGTAACATAGTGGAAGCATGAAAGGAGAAAGTGGGCTTGGCCATAGATCGATTGCAAGAGTTGGAGAACACTTTCTGTCTCCTTGAAGTACGTGTTGGCATCTTTCAGTCTACTCTGGCTCACAGAATTCGGTTTGGAAGTGAACAGGAGGAAACTTGTGCTTTTGACCTTAAAACTGTACTTACCTGATACAGAAAAATGCATTCTTCCTACTCCTTCTCCCTGCTAGTCCCCCAAACACACACACAGATGCCCAGAGTACCTGTGTATCGACCACATACATGTGTTGACCTTGGTCGAGTAACGCTAATGTTTTACCTGCTTTCTGTCATCATCAGCCGGTGCCCACAGGGGGGGAACTTTGGATAGGTAACGTTCCCAGATATCCTCTGGAAAACTTTAACTTTGGTGCAGATTGCTCTGCTGTAGCTAACTGCGATGGCATTGGCTTCTGCCTTGGAGTGGGCTGATTTACCCTGAAATGACTCTCTAATCTGCGTCTTCAACGGTGTGGTTGGTTCCCGTGCAAATAGATTCATTCTAAAATGATGGACAGTTCAATTCTCATGCAAAATAGCTACATCCTACCAGAAAGGGTTGAACCAGTTTCTCTGAACAGTGATGACCTTCACTGTACAGTTTTGGGTATGTCTCAGGGATTCCTTGTAGAAATAAGGGCAGTTAACAAAAAACAAAACATAAAAAAAAAAAAAAAAAAAAGGAAAAAGAAAAAAAAGTGAATAGTTTTAAAAGTAAATAATAATTTAAGGTAGAGCGTCACCTATGTGAGAGCGCAAGAAAGAGAAATCTTTGTTCAGTTTTATAGTAAACAGTGTCTGGCTTAGGGACTCTTCTCGGGGCTCTCATCTCAAGTTCAACGTACAGAATCTGTTTCATCACGCTCAGCTTTAAACTTTTTATTTAAAGATACCCTTCCCCAATGAGCTTTCAGAATACTTATTGTAGATTTAAAGAGAAATGGTATATTAATTTATGCTATTAACATCACCTCATAAATTATAAGTTTTATACTAAAGCTGTATTGAGTGTAATGAATTATGTTGCATATGTGTTTTTAATAGCTATAAAATTATATACAAGCTTTTTGGAAAAACAAACTAGTGAAGCACCTTTTTACACTGGATCTTTGCCGTGTCAAGGTGTACAGCTATTCTTTGCTACCTTGCAGATATCTATATCTATATATAGATATATATATATAAATAAAATAAAATGGTATCCTGTATCAACAAGCATAGAACTCTTTTTAACCCTTATATTACTGTTCATATAACTCTTTCTAAATTGTTACATTCTGCAATAATTTATCTGTGGTTTGTACCTATGATTAGAAATTTAGTTACAGGGTAAATAGATCAAATTAAAGAAATCCAACTACTGTAGCTGGAAGTTGTGAACCAAGTTTGTAAGACCTTTTCTTTCTTTCTTTTTTTTTTTTCATATATTTATTTCCAGTTAGCTCTGTGAGTTGGAATTTGAAAAGTCAGAACATTAGGAATCTACAGTGTCTTATTCAGGAATTTTTCCCCTCCTTTCCTCACAAAGGAATTCCCACTGTGACTTATAAATAGAATTAGACTGCTTGTGTGCATGTATGTATTATATATACACACAAAAAATATGCATTGGGGGGGATGTATGTGCGATACGAATGTGTATATTGTATGTAGGTCATAGTTTTGTAAAGAGAAAAGTAGTCAAGAGGTGATGGAATGTATTGTAGAAATGTGATTATTTAGTAGGGGGTTGTTATGTCTTCACTGTTGTATAAATAACTGAAACTCTCTACTACATAATCTTCTGTTATAAGGCTAACTCTGATATCATGTCAATTTTACTGTTTTTTAAATGCGTTGCATTGAGCCCTATTTAAAATGCCATGAAAATACCAAGCTCCCAAAGACAGCCTTGAAATAAAACTAATGGGGGAGGAGGAAAGATGGGAGAAGTGAGTGATGTTTTTCAGGAGAAATTGAAATGGGAAGGTTTGCATTTGATGGATGGGGAGGCATGGGAATTGCTGTATCTTTGCAAATTAATACCTGAATCTCCTGTGGTCTGACTTGGAAAATGTTGTCAATCAGTGTACTTGTGTTTTCAAATTAGGTTGTAAGGGGCACTGTTTGTGTTCTGTAACAGGATCTTGTCTTCAAAGTAGATTATTTTCTTTCACAAGTGTTTTTGTGTATATTAATTTTGTCCCGAAAATTGCTGTTGTGGCATTGCAGAACAAAATACATTTTCAATCCAGGGAGTTTCACTTGCGCTGTGAAATTCTGAATTTAATTATGGCCATTTAACTTTTCCCTCCCCTCCTTCCCCCCTATAATTGGAGATGGAAGATTTCGTTATGGAGAGTTCTCGCTTGCAATTGTGAGAAGTCAGAAACATTCTTACAGATTGGCTTATTCTTCATACTGTTCTGTTTAGGCTGGAGAAAGCAACCTAATTGTTATTTATTCATACAGTATCACTTTTAATGATGATGATCCTGGTGACTTTAGAAATCTGTTTAGAAAAACAGAGCTTCCAGTATTGCACAGACACTTGAATTTTTTGAAGGCATTTTTTAAGCAGTTGCAAATCAAATCATAATTTTCAATTTTTTTTTTTTTTTTTTTTTTTTTTTTTTTTAATATCCCCCTCCCTAACAACACCCCCCTAGGCATCCCTCCCCTTTTCCTCTTCCCCACAATTCATTTCTGGCACATACACATACAAGTGAAAGGGCAGGGAGGTGGAAGTTGTCAGAGGCCTTTCCTTCTGCTTATTTGATGGTAATAGGAGTTATGAGCATAAATCTTTTATGCCTTTATGGTGAAGAATATACCAATTTTTGTGTATACCTGTACAGAGAGATGTATCTGTATATGAGATGTTGGTAGCACTTTGCGGAATGTGGACTTGCCCTCATGATGTACAATAAATACATGTGAATGCAATCAATCTAAACCTATATATACATGAATATAGATGTATAGGTGGGGTATACATTGTATCACACACATGTACATTAGTTGTAACATGAGCGAGTGTGTGAGCTAAAAGAGAGAGACTATCCACGTAGCATACGTGTAACAGGTAAGCACTTGTGCCAAACAAGGTTGTTTTAATTCTTCTGAGGGATTTGGATGACATCAGTGACTGATATGAGCTTGGTCACCATTGATCTGTGTTACCTCAGCCCTCACGGTGGAGTTGCCTTGGTACGTTTCTGCTTTCATTTATTCTATATTAATACTAACTGAGGCCTCTTGCAATGCCGACCTCTTCTGCTTCTCTGCTCCATTGCGTCCATTCCAGCTCCTCCTTGTCCCTGCATCTCTACTGTTTCTTTTGCTGTCAGCAATCAGGTTTAATGGCCCAATCCAGCTCTGCTTATGCATTAGGGAAATTCTCTTGGTGACTGTAGTGGAAGCTGAATTGGGCCCTAAGCACTTGCTTGAACTTACGCAGAATTTCCCAGCTATTCAGTTGTGCTTGAGTATGACAGTGATTTGTAAATGAACACAGACTTTTCTTAGAACCTGATGCAAAGCTTCCTAGCATACTAAAAGGTTAACCTGGCATTGTATTTTAGAGGTAAATGCTCAAAAGTAGAAAAATGAACACACCAAAAACTGTCTTCAATTTTCAGCCCCAGGGAGAAAAAGGGAGCTTGGTTTGTGTTTTCTGTAGTGCAGGCAGTAAACACAAGGCAGCCCTGTGCTCTGTTCTGAGCAGTGAGGTTGTCATCAAAAATATCAAGAGAAATACAGCTTGTTATATTTTACCATCAAACATTTTAAAACGAGCTGCAGAGTTGACCATTAACGTGCTAGCACTTTGCATCCAGTTGTGTATTGAATGATCTCGCTTATATAAGTGCATTGTGGTTTTAAGTGTTTTATTTTCTGTTTTCTGGCTAAGTGGAGCTTCTGTATCCTTTTAGCAGAAAGCAGCTGTCAGAACCTGCTCAGTCACATTTAAGCACTGTTGAAACTCCTGGCTAACTTAGGCTTCAGTTTCAATGCAGAATGCTGCTCCAGTTCTGTCATCGAGTCGTACTGCATTCCACGTTTTCCGTATGGATATGGCACAGTTTTTTCTTGGCCACAATTCAGCCATGGAGCTTTGTCTTCCTTGCATTTCTATTAGAAAAAGGTAACTGGTGTGCTGTTCCATCTGAGCTTTCATGCAATCATACACGACGATTTCTATGATACATATGTTGGGGCGTGTGTATGGGTATGTCTGTACTGTGTGTGTATTAATACATATTTATACACACACGTATATTACGCTATTTCGGTTTATGTATGTGGAGAACGTACCTGTTCTCTCCTGATATATACTCATGCATACGTATATTAAATATGTATATAGAGTGTAGATGTCCTGCATATACATGTGTATATGTTATGAACTTTGGTTGGCAATTTTTTCCCCCCACTCTTTGCAAATTGCGCTCCCTTACAACATACTTTCACTGAAGCTGTATTATATAGAAGGAATGGAGAAATGTGTTATCAAAGTTTTATTTTAAAAAGGAGACTCTTATTAATTATCTAAAGCCATCTAATTGTCTTCTGAATTTTTACTAGAAGGGCTGTTATTTAAACAAAAAAAAAAGAAGAAAAAAGGAAAACAAAAGCAAGCAGACAAGCCCTTACTCCCACCATTGCTTATATGGACATAAGGAAGAAGTGGAAACAAAAGTTTCTATGTATTTATTTCCTTCAGAGGTTTCTGAGGCATTCTGTAATTGCATTCTGCCCCATCCCCCTTTTGTCCAATTATAATTAATGATTCATGGTTTCTTTTACAGAGCTTTTTCCCTCATTACTTTTCTTTCGTAAATCGTTGTTCACCTCCTACGTTTAGTAGTACTGATATCACTGAGGAGATTCCATGTCCTTCTGTCCTTTTTGAGAGAAGTACCAGTGCATCGCTATTGTGTTACATTTTAACATACTTTGTGGAGGATGGATGTTCTTACTGAAGATGTCTGTAACAAGTCTTTAACTTACTTAATGTGAGAAGCCTATAGTTTGTTTCCAATGAGTTTCTGCAACAGTTTTTTTCATCAACATATTAAGTAGTTCCCTTCTTATTTGATTCCTGAGGTTTTAGAGTTTGGGTTTATTGTTGTGGGTTTGGGTTTTGTTATTTCCTTCCGATTCCATGAAATTTTTTTCTGCAAGTGCAGCAAAAGAGATGTCAGGATCTCAACCAATATCCTTTTGCAGTTAAGGGTAAATATCCCAGATTTAATAAAAGAGAAGGTGGCAAGTGGACAATCCAAAATGCTTAGAGGGAATGCTCACTCTTTTTAAGGCTGTCTCAAGAGAAGTTTGTGTTTGGTGTCATTTTAAAGGTAGCTTGATCACATTTTGATATCAGAAACAGCCTTGTAACAAAGAGCCTCGTACAGTTGTTTGGCCACTAGAGTTTAAAAAGTAAAACAAGTTGCAGTGGGAAAGCAAAGGTGAGGCAGTGTCTTTTGAACCAGTGAATTGTAGCTTGCAAACGTACCTGATTTTGAAGTAACTGCATGGTAGCAAGGATTAGCAGTCTCTTACACCCCTTCCTTCTTCCCTCTCATCCCTGACATGTGTTCAGCATACTGTACATTGGGAAAAATAAACAACTTAACTCCAGCAAAGCTAAATCCACTTAATGACTGCTTAAAGGGAACATACAAACTTGCATTGCTGCATCCCGTCTCGTGGTATTAGCTGGAAGACTAGCTAATACTCACAGAAAGCCCAGTCCAGATTCCTTCTGTGGATGTATTGCTTTTGGAGAGTGTGGTGCATGAGGATGCCCAAGAAGAAGGGTCCCTTCCTGCTGGGTGCCTGGCAGCGATAGCAGCTCACACTACTGCTTCTAGTGCTGGAGGCCCACAGACAGCATTCCAGGGGCAGGTAGGGAAGCTTGTGTTTGTACTTTCCCTTTAAATAGGAAAGGTTGGCTCTCATGTTCCTCATACTTCTCAATGAATGTACTGTATTACAATTAAAAAAAAAAAAAAAATCAATGAAATGATAATAGATTGGTCTCCTTTTGTTATCTGGTCCTTGTTTAATTTGTTTAAGGGTTTTTGTATACGAAAGTTTACATTTTTATGTATATTTTTCTTGTGTAAAAACTGATGTAATATGTGTATAAAACACTGTATGTATTATCTGTATATAGTGTGACAAAATGATTTTCTTTCTTTCTTTTGGATGTATTAATAAATCTTGCTGTGAAGTAGCTGTGTTTACTATGTTGAAACCCTCTTCCTCAAGCCATTTTGCCAAGTCTGAGACGTATGCATATTGCCCAGGCTGCAATCTAATCCATAAAGTGATTTCTTTTTTCTTTTAAAACGTATCCTAAGTACAGTTATTAAACTGTCCTTAGCTTAGATAGCTGTAGAGTCTGATTCTACTCTTGCTTATTCTTTATTGCTTTCTAATGACATTAGCTAATCAGTTTTGCAAACAAACCAGGATCTTCAGTCTCAGACCTGATTCTAATTATAGTACTTTCTAGCTCTGGATCACTGCCCTGGAGACCAGATCCCCCTCATCTTATTTTCTGGTTTGAGTTTGCAGAAGTGTACTTGAAATACAATTTAACGTGTATGGAATAGATTTTTTTTTTGTTCCTTACATGTTGTTATGTTTTCTGAGGTCTAAACAATATATCTCTGCTTCATCACTGGAACTGGTAAGTTGGAGTTTGGCATTATTTTGAGGATTGGTATATGGATGAGAAATAAGGGTTGCTGTGAGCTCTGGTCAGCTCTTTGGCAGGATTGCAAGGCCAGGGCCTACCTGTGGTGACTACCTCGATTATCCAGATGTTGGGAATCACCACTGCCTTGTTTGGACACAGACACCTGTGCTCTGGGGTAAAGCTGCTGTTCCGCCACCTTGCTGTGGCTGGTGCAAACTAGGCTGCCTTGTCTGGCACTAACCTTCTGGTGCCATGTTTGCCTTCCAAAAACAGCTTTTCCACCTCTTTTCAGACAGACCTATGCCTTGGATGCTTTGCAGTGAATAGATTGCTGCTGCATCTTCCCCTTTGCTTTCTGACACAAGGGGTTTGTGCTTCAGCTGATGCTTGCCTTGCTAGTCTTCCATCTCCAATATGTTTGAGGTTGTGACTTGCCAAGGGTAAGTAGTCATGTCCTATGTGAGACCATCTTCCAGGTTCTGTTTTTCATAAACAGTCTCACTTAATTCTGATTTGATCACCAGAATAACCATGAACAGAGATTGATGAAAAGGGGATTTAGTAATCTGACTTTTCTTGTTAATGAACAGTGGATCAGCTTTTCTAGACAGCATAATTAGAGCAGCATTTCACAGTGCTTGGTTGTAATTCAGGCTGAGGGGTAAGCGGTGTCAGTGAATGATGCAGTCTTCCATGCTAACACATGCTGCAAAGGTTTCATGGCAAAGGACACAACTGGATTGTACTTTAATGCCTTGTCTTCCTGAGAGATGAGAGTACACTGAAAGTGCTGCATCCAGGCATTTGTCAAGACAGAGTGATCACATTAAAAATGAGACAAAGTAAGCAAAAGGAGAGTGCAGCAGCTTAAGTTCAATGTGGTATGGCTGGAGAAAATCTAGCCCAAGCTTGTCTGTTCTAGGGAATTTTCAGGGTCTATGATAGTTGTTAAAAATCTGCTTTTAACAAAACAGCAAAAATAAGTTGCTATTTGGTGTAAGGTTTGAAGCCACAATGAAGAGTAAGGTTTTTCCTTTGGGATGACTCCCTGGCAGAAGCAGACTTGCCTGGTCTGGTCCCTGACTGGGCATTCTCCGCTGTGGGCTTGGAGAGAAATGGGCTGAGACTCCTCTGCTGACTAAGATGGAGACCAGCTGAATCACCTGGGTTTCTTTCCAGCATGTCCATGAACAACAAAGGAATGCTGCTCTTAGAAAGTGATTGCATGGCTCTCAGCCTGAAACTTAACAAAAACAACTGGTCATTGCTCTAGTGCTGCGTTTCAAAACACAAGTAGGCTTTGTTTGAAGTATCAGCTCAGGAAGAATGTGGTTCATCTTTCTCTGTATTTTAACAGTCCTCTCGAGCTCCAACAGTAGTCTTTTAATAGTTGGCAATTGTTTTCTCAGGAAAGCTCATTGGGTTTGTACTGGAAAAGCAGGTGACATTTTGTTACAAGAGCAAGCGTTGCTCTTGTATGCAGCAAAGCAATTGGAAGGATAAACCTTTATTAAATTTGGGAGGTGTCTTCCTGCAGAGGTGAAGACAACCTCTCTCTCCCTATATAGTCACAGGCACTTGTCCCATCTGCAGGAAATAATGGGGGATATCTTCCACACTCCCTACACCCCAGAGTGCAGGGTTGGTACTCTGCAGCTGTCTGGTATGAATTGGAGATACAGGATGCTTGTTTTAACAGGCTAAGAGATGATTGGCATGTTTACTGATGTGCAGTTCAGGCCAGGAATGGCTGCCTTGGTTTACTGCTATTGCTAATTTATGACTAGTGGAAGATGCCAGTGAAGAGTTTTGGTACCACTGCATCTAGTAAGAAGACTGAAGTGTTGTGCTAAAAATGTTCCTGAAAGCAAAGTAGCTCTGATATTCACACGCGTTCTTGTGTTTCTGTAGGGGAATAGCAGTACAAACCTTCTACACCCACATCCAGTAAATCCCATGGCAGATGTCCTTGGGACCAAGAGGCTTGGTGTCCTGTTCACCCCTTGCAACTTGCTTGCGATGGCTGACATAGCCACCGGTGTGGAGGAGAGTCCTGTATTGTGAACTTGGTCTGGCTCTGATGCCTGTTTCTGCTCAGCTTGTGCACCAGATTCAGCTTCTTGACTTTAAAATACAAAGCCTTTGCTTTCACACTGTGCCAGCCAGCAACCATCCCAGGGGCTCTTGCAAACCTCATCTGTGAGGTCCTCTCCTGTGATGCCTACCAGGTAGCTGATGCTGGTTAGGCTGCTGACACAGACATAAATGCTGTCACGCTGACCAGTGTGTTCTTGACAGGTACCGTGTGTTTCATTTCCTGGGAGGGTGTCATGGACTTCAGCCACTTCTAGCTTCTCCATTGTATCTGTGTTGGATGCAGTGGTGGCCCTTTGCAGTAGGAGACAAAGTGCTGTGGTGAGAGGGAGGGGAGAGGGTCTTCCCAGCTGCGGACTGGTGCTGTGAGCCTGTGCTGTGACCCCAAGGAGGGCAGTAAGGCTTGTGAGGAGCACAGCTGGCATCTGATGCAGCACCGTCTCCTATCTATATAGTCCTTCATCAGAGAGCTGCAAGGTACATAGTAGTACGGCTCATGCTGAAAAGAACCTTGCAGATGATTTCTCATGGGGTTTATGTGTGTTGCAGCATTTCTCTTCAAGCTGTGGCTTTCTTGCACAGGGGTCGAGAGGAGCAGCACTCATGAAGAAATTGGGCACAAACTTGATCTGAAGGGGTAGCAGCAACCCTGCCTCACCCAGCTAGTGCCAAAGCATCAGCAAGAGTAGAGAGGCTGATGTATGTCAAATTTGGGCTTGTACTCTGCCAAATTTTGACTTCGAGCTGTGGGTCTCAGTTACAATACTGCCACATCAGCATTGGTCCACGTTTGTGCCAGTGGAATTGTGCAGAACTGGACCCTGGAAGCGTTC